TACTAAAATCAACCAGCAAACTGCATTATTTTCGTAAATCGAGTTCTACTTGATAATCACGTAAGAGTCATGTATGACTTTAAACGGTCCGACTTGCTACTATACCACCAACTCGAGTGAGGCTTTATGAAACGTTCGAAAACATAAATAGCACAGAAAATGTTTACATTGTTAGGGATGCTTCTATTTGGGAAGTTGGATATATTTATCGTATAGTGCCCAAGGAGCTTCTGACATTGACTGGTTCTTTTTCGTAGGCCGGAATAACTCTTGGTGAGCTGCGATCTGTGGCGGACCTCTACGACGTCCACTCAATAGCCACCTTGTTCCTTGTCGGAGTTGTTTCAGTCACCCCAACTTTGATGAACAGCAAGAGCAGATCATAGAATTTCATGAGCTCAGACATGTTGGGTTTTTCCAATCAACCATTTGGGTATTATTCGATTGTACAAGATTTGCTCAAATGATGTTCGATAAAATGGATCAGAAACTTTACAATCCCAATTCCATTTCAAACTCCAGTTACTCAAATACAGAAAATTTCTTTTGTATTAAATAAAATCTGTTTTAAATTATCTTAAAATTAGGAGAGTGACAACGAAATTTCACTATCTTTGTTATTATTACTGTAAGGGTTATTACTATGATTGCGTGACTGTCTAGTTACATAAAATTTTGATAGTGATGATGAGTAATCACAATACAAATTCAGGTTACTATCTATTTTTGTAAATTTTGGTCAGGGACGATAGACAGTGATAATAATAATTTAATATCGTTGTAATTATAACTATCATATGTTATTGTTACTATCTCACTGTTATTGTTATTGTCTCGTTATCGACCCAAAAAATTTATAACTGTGGAGCAACCTTCAAAAATTCCTAAATTAACCGTTTTAAAATTTAGTTATTCATATTTAACGTAATTCTAATATTTATTAATCATAGTAATTAATGGTATTACTTTTCAATGTTTTTTATAAGCAATTGTTTATCAAAATGAAGTAGACAGAGGGATAAGCGCCAACCCTTTCTCCCATTGTTTGTCATTTCCACATCATCAGCACGTGGTGGTGGGACCATGAATGATTATGATTGGTGAAAACATTTAAATGAGTCCCACAATGTGTGATGGTCATGGCCTTAATGATTTTCCAAAATCTTAATGTTGGTCCTTATTATGGATTGTGTTCGGGCAAACATTTTGTAATTAATTGTTGAACACATCTTTATACGTGGCCAAATTCTGTCCTTGTATTTGTTACTTAACGTAGCATTTTTAGTATAAAGATTGCCATGTTGCATATTAGGTTACATTTTGGTGATTAGGTAGACAAAATCCCACGTAATAGTCGTGGAAATGGAGGTGAGTTGTAAATTCAAGTAATTTATATTTAAAAGTTGATAATTTATTTGTGATCAGGTCACGACAGATTCTGGTCAAAAAAAGGTCATGACAGATAAATCTCTCATGAACTCTCTAATCCCGACATAAATGGTCTATCTTTTTTATTGGATCAGAAATAAAATTAATCGAATTGATGTAAACTGACCCAAATATACTTAACCGTAATAATGGGGAAAATAAAAAAAAAGAGTAGATGGACAAGCAATCTCAAGATTGAATTGTTTGGTCATGATACTCGTGTTAAAGTCTCCCTAAGTAAAATATTTCTTAGACGATACTCCTGACTTATTCTTGTATTAAATAGTGAATTAGAGTTTATTTTTTGGATAAATTATGCAAAGTGCACGGTGGATTCCATTCTTATCGAGAAGGAGTCAACCAAATGCTTTTTTTTGCCATATTTTCACAAATTCATAAGGATTTAATTTTAGAATCATGATCCCTATCGATAGAAAATCAAAATTACATTAGTTTGTTTTCTCGTATAATACAATATATATATATATAAATTCGGATTTGCACGATAATTAAATCGAACATTATTGTTGATGGTCAAATTCAAATATGTAAAAAAGGATATAAAAATTTTGGATTAAAGTCCAATCAATTGATAAGTAAATTATTTATGTTAATTGGGTAAGTTAAGGGGACAAAAGATTAAAAAGGTGATAAGTTGACTGCTTCATGTGTTTATCATACATGTGAATCACGACAAAGCAATAATTGATCTATGTTTGAAGGTGGAAAACGTGGAAGTAGTTAAGCAAATGTAACCCTTACCACCTACTCCTGTCGGTGGAGGAAATTGAATGCTGTGGGCCGGGGGAAAAGAAAAAATACAGAAGGGAGTATGTTTTTCCTGGCATGTGGAGGTAGGGCCTATAATAGAACTGAGTTATTTGATTTCAGTTCGAATTTGATTTATTTTTAGCTCGTTTAGTGTTGGCTCGCTTTTTAAAACGAGTTAAATTTAAATAATTTTTTAGATTTATTTAGAAAACGAGTTCGACAGATTCAACTTAAACTCGACAAATTTGTTTCGTTTTTGTATAAATACTAAAACTTGGTTAGGATTCGATTTGTTTTAAACTCGTTCAAACTCAACATGTTTTTTTTGGACCAAATTGAATCGTAACTTTTAGAAAACAACCTCTTTAAATAATTATTTACTTTTGGACCACGTAGTGTTTTAGGATTCATGAATGACATGATAAGAAAACTTTTAGGATTCATCACCCATTGATATTCTTTCCCACCACACCTATCAACCCCATTATCGTTGTCCTCATTCATTATCACTTATTACACTGTTGTCTAGAAACACTTATCGTCGTCTATCACTACCATCGTCACTACCCACCACCACAATCTATCATCCCTATCATCAGTGTCGTCGTCCCACCACCACCACAACTATCAATCAACATCACCGTCGTCCACAACCACTCAAATTCACCATTACCACTATCATCACTCATGACTACTACTATTGTCATCATCACCCAAAATTCACCATCACCACTACCACTGCGCATTCCCATTACAATCGATATTTAAATTCATTTTTCTCTCCTCTATATTTGTGATTTGATTTTGAGTGTGAATACAAATATATTTATTGTTGAATTTTTTTTATTACTCATTCTCTTCAAGCACTAAAAATAACTAATTCTATAATAAGGACAATAGGGGATATTTTAAATAAGTATTAAAGGGTGCCAATGTAATTTATCCTTGTAAGAGTTATTATGAACAATTAATTTCAGTCAAATAATGTACATTCTAGAATATTTAAAAATTCTTATTTTATACCCTCAAAATTAAATTTTTTTCATTACAACTTGAATATATTAAAAGTGTTACAATATTATTCTTTCATAAGTTTTTCTTGCTCATTCTGTCAAAAACCACCTCATTGACGATGACGGAATGAGAAATAAAAGCTGATGGAAGAACAATGTTATAACACTTTTAATATATTGAGGGTGTAATATAAAAAAATTAATCTTTGAAAAACCAAAATTAAAATTCTTAGATCTTCCGGGATGAAAGATAAAATAATACGAAAAAATACCTACAAATGTGTTAGTGCTACAATTGTGATTGGATAAGATTGTTATCAATTTATTAATGCCACGTCACTCTCCACCCCGTCCCCCCCCCTTCCCAAACCAAAAAAAATATTAAAAGTGTTACAATGTTAACCTTTAATTACCTGCTTTTGTTGCTTATTTCGTAAAAAAATAAAAAAAAACCCTACCCTATTGACGATGACGGAATGAGAAATGAAAGAACAATATTACAATAATTTTAATACATTGAGAGTGTGATATACAAAATTTGTCTTTAAGAAAGCAAAATAAAAAATTCTTAGATCTTTCGGAGTAGAAAATGTGATTCTCCCTTTTTATTTTTCCCAAATATTTACCATAAAAAATAAGTGTAATGCTACTTAACCTAAATAAAATAAAAAAAATATAATTTAAATACATATCAATTTTTGAATGAGTGAGTTCTATTAATTTTTTTAATAAGATCCACTCAATTAACATTTATTTAAAAAATAATATATATTTACGTTACAATTTTTTAATTTTATTTAAATTGTTTATCGTTTATTTACGACAATTCAAACAAGTACTTACATATGGATGAGTGTCACGATTGTGAGTGGATAAGATTGTCATCAATTTCATTGGGGCCGCGTCGGATTGACGCAGATACCACACAACTCCCCTCTCCCCCCAGCATTTATTAATACTATTAAAATAATATGACAGCACTTGATTTGATTTTAATTTATGAAAAAATTGTGTGAGTATTTTAAAATATTAAGTTAAAATTTAGATATAGTTTACTAAAATTTAATACAATGTATAAAATTGCATTCTTGAATTTTTACAAGTTGAGATATAAATTACGAAAATAAAAAAACTAAATACAGCAGTGATCTCCAATGTTAAAATTTTGTGTCATTTTAGTTACCAACGTATCAACTGCAATACTTTAGTCTTTAAGGTGTCGAATTTAGTTTTAAATGCTCACTGCAATCGACGTTGTTCCATTTTTTTAGTAGATCTCAAACACGTGCAGCTCACATGAAAAAAAATTCAAAACGTTAGGGACTAAAGTGTTGCAATTGATACATTGGAGATTAAAATGACATAAAATATAAACATTGGGGACCATAGCTGTATTTCGTCCTAAGAAATTCAACATTTGAAGTGGATTTTTATAATCCTAAACATGTTTAGATTCAAACTCCAACCCTTGACAGGCCACCCATACCCCCACCCACTCCCCACCCCCACCAAACCCTCTCTGCTTATAAATATGCTGACACATTGTAGTATCAATGCATACCCAGCTACCAAAATATCTTCATAAGCAGAGAATCTAGAGAGAGAGAGATGGGGAGAGAGAATGTGAATGGAGAGAATGAAAAAGGGGGGTGGTCATCTTCATCTGCAGAATCATCAAAGCAAATGCCTCTACTTTCTTTGAATCATGTCTCATTTGTCTGCAAATCTGTCAGTAGATCAGTTCAATTCTATGAGGAAGTGTTGGGATTCATGCTCATCAAACGCCCTTCTTCCTTCGACTTTGAAGGAGCTTGGTACTTCCAATTTTACATCAACATTCCAATCATTTTATTTTATTTTTCATTTAGATTGCATCTGAGTTCATTTGTAAATACAAATTGAAAATTTATTCAATACATATCGGATTCATGTATAGAGTCGTGCATAATTGAGACTATACTGTATACTCATTTACTAAGCGGTTATGGTCAGTCTATCTATTTATAACCCAAAACCCACAAGGCTTACTGACACCCCCATAACATTTCGTGTCTTGTGTTACGAATTCTCAATAGTTTTTCAACCCAAATATCTCACTAACTATGGGTTTCGATTTCTCAGGCTATTCAACCATGGAATCGGCATCCATTTGCTCGGATCAGAAGATGTTCCGAAGAAGAAAGGTGCAATCAACCCAAAGGATAATCACATTTCATTTCAGTGCTCGAACATGCAAGTAGTAGTGCAGAAATTGGAGGAGATGAACATAGAGTATGCGACTGCAGTGGTGAAGGAAGGTGGTGTGATAGTTGATCAGCTCTTCTTCCATGACCCTGATGGGTACATGATTGAGATTTGCAACTGCCAAAATCTACCAGTTCTTCCCCTTTCCTCATGCCCTCTGAAAAAGCTGCCTACTCCTCCTAGCAACCAAGCAACATCATCTTCCTTTGATGGTAAGTTCTTTGATGCTAAACTTAAAAACGGGTAATTCAGTGGTATAGGGCTAATTTAGATAAAAACATAACCTCGAATGTCTTTGGTTTATCTCTAGGGATGGCGGTACATCTTGAAAAAGCGTATATTTGTCTAAACCCGCCTCGATTAAACTCGTTTAAATTGGGATGAATTATACATATTAATCAATAAAAATATACAAAATATTCTTATAAATCCATATAAAGATCGAGACGAGAATAGACTAAACGTCATCTTCCGCTTCCCCCACCCCCTACCAAACCCTTATAAATATGCTGACACTACGGTCAACCGTACTCGCTAGTACGTATCTAGAGTTTATTAGGTAGGTATTTAAGGTCAAGCCTACTAAGCTGGTGCTTGACCGGGCCCAACGCAGCCGTACACTTAGGGCGCATTTGAATAATCGGCATAGATAAGAATAGATAGAATTTTTTGTATCTTAATTTATCTCACCTAAACTCACTCAAGCACTTAATTGAAAGGGTTATGTATGTCATTCAACCCAAGCCATTGTTTGGCAAGAATAATTGAATTGGATGGACTTTTCTTTAACTTGTATAGACATTTACCATTATACCCATTGATACGAAGACCATAAAACACCAAAAAATTGAAGTTTTGCATAGACGGAGAATACCCACCACCATCACAGGAGTAATCCCCACCACCACCACAACAGAAACCTGAAGACTACCACCACCGCCACAACAGAAACACCAAAACCATCATAGAAACACCCACCACCATCACCACAAAAATGATTCAAATCTGAGAAATAGAGGAGAATTAGGGTCAAAAGCACCCACTATCACATTTCAGATTTGAGAGATAGAGAAATTAGGGTTTAAAATCTTCCACCATCGTGGTGGTGCGGGTGACTGTGAACGATCGAGGTTAGGGGTGGTGCATGTGAAGTTCTCTTCTTCGTTCAGTCCACGCAGGCACCCAAATCCATCCCAACATAACCACTGGGCATCGGCTTCGTCTCCTTCACAAAGAGAGAGAGAGACACAAAAAAAACACAGAGAGCAAGAGATATAGAATTGTTGCCTTTACAAAGTAAGACAAAGAGCTCTCAGGAGAGGTGGGTAAATATGTCATTACCCCTTCATAACCCATCAGCTGGGATTGAAACCCATGGGGGAGGTGGGTTAATTTTAACCCATGTAGCAAGGTTAAAAATTACTGTAGCACTCGGGTCAAAGATAGACCCGGGATTTATATCCTGGCTATTTTTTGCTTCCCAAACAAAGGTTTTGTGGGACCCATTACCTTATTACCCTATTCTTATGGAGGTTAACCCTCCTTAACCCACTACCCAAACACACCCTTAGTTTTCATTACAATTCCAGAATCTAATATCTTAAGTTGAACCAGCCCATGGTTCAGAAAAAAAAAATTAAGTAAATGAGAAAAAAAATGCTCTTAAATGGACTCAAGCTGTCTATAAACATTGACCCAAAAACNTTAAGTTGAACCAGCCCATGGTTCAGAAAAAAAAAATTAAGTAAATGAGAAAAAAAAATGCTCTTAAATGGACTCAAGCTGTCTATAAACATTGACCCAAAAACTGCAGGGAAGGTGAGCTGGAAGACACAGTGCAGCTGGGAAGTTGAGGATCTAATGATGGAGAACTTAGCCGTGGACATGATGGACATTTCATTTTGATACAGATAAGACTACGATGGTGTACATCTGATTCTCACGGGACTCGCTAAACGAGTTTGTGGTGACAGAAGTCTCNGATGGAGAACTTAGCCGTGGACATGATGGACATTTCATTTTGATACAGATAAGACTAAGATGGTGTACATCTGATTCTCACGGGACTCGCTAAACGAGTTTGTGGTGACAGAAGTCTGGTGCATTTGAGTGACCTGTAATTCTTTTCAAGTGAAAGTTTTCTTTCTTAAAGTAGTGTCAAGTGTTATGTGTACTGTGTATGGAGAAATGAGCTTTCTTTAAGTCTTTGTTGTGAACAGGCTGAGCTGTAGATTTAAAAAGTATATTATTAATAAAACTTGAGCATTCCTTCTTTCAGATGTGGCATTGTGAAGAATTTCATTTGGATAATCAATTTAGTAATAAGAGAATGCAAAATTATCAAGACAGTAGATATTTGGTCCCCATGATTGATGAAGTCTCAAAATGCAAGATAGCATCTGCTTCAAATTAAGAAGTTATTTTTTAGTATCATACCAAAATTAATAAAAACATGATGAAATTTTAACTCGTTTGAGTGAGATTACATTACAAATAAATTGATTGGGATCATGTTTTTGTTCATTATTTGATTCTGTTTAATTGAAACTTCATGTAAAAAGTTTAGGATTTGTCACTCAAAAAAATAAATAAAAATTCAGTATTGCACCAACAGTTATCAATCTTGTGTGTATTTTTACCATTGTTGTGATACTTACAACCGATCTGCTAGTGTCAATAATGAGGTTTTTGACAGAAAAAATAACGAAAACCAACATAATGGTCACATTGTAATACTTTTAATATTTTTAGGATGTAATGTGAAAATTTTATTTTTAAAATTACAAAATAAANAAAAAATAACGAAAACCAACATAATGGTCACATTGTAATACTTTTAATATTTTTAGGGTGTAATGTGAAAATTTTATTTTTAAAATTACAAAATAAAAATTCTTAAATCTTTCAGGGTGCAAAGTGCAATTAATCCTTAAAAAAATATCTTGTAATAGTACCATATAGTTATGGATTAAGATTACTTCTAATATATTTTCCCTTCAATTTCAATTTTATCGAGTCATTGACTATGTATTTAAATAAGACCTATTATATACAAATTGATCTATCATTCATTAATGATGAATGATCTGCCAAGTAATTCAATGTTATCCTAGAAAAACAGCCTCTATTAAGGAAAAATATTTGGTGATGTTATTATATAATGGTTACTACTATGGGCCTAATTCCGGTGGCGACCCCCTAATCTTTCAAATAAGAGGTGAAGAGTTTAAATCTCATCAACTATTAGGTGCCTATTGGGAAAAAAACCTAGTTCTCAAGAAGTGGGACCAACATCTCACCGCTCGCCTCAACATTAAGGGGTTGTTTCATAAGGGGGATGGGGGTTTATAAGATGAATTATGAAAAAATAGTCCAAATGATACACAAAATTCGTGTTTGACCAAAAATATGAAACTTGGATTACCAAACCCGGCCTGCTATTGGCCCGGACCTTAAACCCTAGATCATGGGTTTCATCAAACCCATGGGGGGGTTTCGGATGAGGGTTAACTGATTCAAGATACAAAAAGACAATTTTACCCCATACGTATACAAACATGAGTTTGAATTAGATTGATAAAAGAGCACAATAGTCATTTATATACAAATATATTATCATAATAGTGATATATACGTGGACATACAAAACATGAGTATGGATTGGATTTAATTTTGAATCTCATCTTTGTAAAAAAAGATTTGAATTTGAAATAATTTGAGAATTCAATCCAAACCCTTATCAAAAATTCATCCAAACAAGTCCTAAAAGCTTTAAACTGTGGAGAGCTACTCTAGTTCGATGCAAGATTAACGATTGACATAATGACCATCAATTTTACTGTTAAATTTTAAGATTATAGGTTCAAATCTCTTAATAGTGCTGACAAAAAAAAAAGGCAATTCTATGCCAACCAAATCTCTACACACTTATCTTACTGTATGCCTAGTCCAAACAATTGATAAGCAGGCTTGGGCAGATTTTTGTACAGTCAGCTCTTATCAAAACAAGTTATTTTCCACCATTCATGGATGCATCTCTGATAAGCTTGGAGGATAATGTATACGCTGAACCTTTCATGAACTTTAAGAAAAAAACAAAGATGGTCCCACCAAGAGCTTATAATTCAAACTGCCAGCTCAGCATTAATGGTGTACTGAGTCTAGTGAGCCCCTGAATTTATTATGAGGGTTGGGTACCCTACGCATGTCCCACAAAACAGGCAAAGCCATTGTGTGACAGATCAATAGAGGAGTCTACAACCAATGTGCCAGGGGGCCTAGCCTGGATGGACTTGGTTGGAGTATCCATAGTAGAATAGGGCTAAGTCATAAGGACACCCTCCTATACTTCGCACTTCCCATTTCTAAGCTTTAATCCCATGGGATCTCGTCTAGTGTAAAATCTAGACCAAGAACTAACTAATAAGTCCCTGACCTGGAATCCTCTTCTCTATGGTGTTTCCTCTTAGAAAATATTACTACTAGGGTCCAACTGTGGTACAGGTAGATTTACTACTCATTACCTCTTTTTTTCGTCCAATGAAAATGTAAAAATATGCAAATTTTATGTTATTATTTTATTTTATTATATTCACCATTAATGACTACAAATGAATTACCCAAAATTACAAGTCAAAGTACTAATCTACAGCCCCGTTAAGAACTCTACATTAATACTCCATCCAAGATTTTCTGCTAAATACTGAATCTCTCTCTTTATCTCACACATTTCGTAGGCTAATTTATAATATAAAACATAATAGGTTTCAATAAATTCATTTGACGGACTCAAATATATTCACCAAAAGGCCATCAACATTTCTCTCAAAACTATTCATATTAAATTTTTTTCTATCATAAATTTATCACTTCTCACTTACGTTGCACTATACTTTCAGACACGAGTTATCTCTAGTAAATAATAAAGATGGAGTGATTAGAGATTGAAAAACTCATAGGTACGCACAAAAAAAAAAAAAAAAAAAAACCAACTTTGATGCCTCCTTCCTGGGTTACCGTGAAATAACTTTAGTATCTTGCATAAGCCTATATTTTTCTCTACCTATTCAGGTTAACTTGAACCCCTAAATTTGACCTGCTTAGACTGTGTCCAAATATCATGCAGATAAGTACTCTTAATTGTAAATGTCTTGTATTTAAATACACATTAACAATTTTTTAAATATTTTTTTTTACCTAAATACCCTTTTCTATAATTCATGGACAGTATTTTTAAACAATTACCTTATTTATGGGATTTCATTTTATCATATCAACATGTTCCTATTTTAATGGACTAAGGACATTTAAATTTTGAACCTACATCTTTTTCTTCCTATTTAATGTGTGATTTACTATTATCAT